CTGGATGCAGCACTGCAGGTGGGGTGTCACGAGAGCAGAGCAGAGGGGGAGAGTTCCCTTCCCTTCTCTGCTGGTCACACTTTTGATGCAGCCCAGGAGATGAGTGTACAGATGAGCCTATGCAGCATCAGATATGAGTTTACTGCATCTTTTGAAACAGCCAAGGTGTTACCTGCTGGACAAGCCAAAAATATGCTTCTATGCATCAAGACACCAGTGATTCCTCATGACAGATGTTGTCTTCCAAGTCATCAGAGAAGAAAGCCATTCTCCTACAGTCACAAAATATAACACAGCATGGCTGGGTTTTGTTGAATTTTGTGAATTTGTAAGATGAAGGAACCTTTTCCCATCTGCTAAGAGTGTCAAGGACAGAAACCTCACTGTTTGTATTTCCTGTCTAAATGTATTTGTTTCATATCTCAATAAAATGATTGTTCTCCCACCAGCAGTCACCCTCACAAAGTGGATGATTGTGAGTCAGAGTCTCTAAACTGTGTTGGTGTTCTTTGGGATATAAACTGCTGCACAGAAAACTCAAAGATCATCTTCTTTCAAGGTTTAGGTTTTATCATAAAAGAAAGACAATTGCTTGCAGAACTTTTAGATGAGGAAAAGTTATTAGCAGAGTTTAAAGGTGTTACTTGTTGGAATATAGTGGTGCAGACTTGACAATTTGAAATTACTGCAAGTGTCACTAAATAAAGTAATGGGGTCAAATCTCATGTGTCTCTAAACTGGTACAGGTCCATGGAGTTTAACAACACTGTGCTAATTACATCAGCAGAGAATTTGCCCTCTAGTTTCTAAGGGCCTGTCACAGACAAAAATGCTTTGCAAAGGCATTTGTTCTCAATTTTATATCCTTGGATGTGCTGGTTTGTGTTTATATATTTGCAGAAACTGATGCAGGGACGGATCTGTGCAGTTCCCTGGCTCTGGCATGGCTATCAGCAATCTGTACATTTTCATTTTGAACTCTGGCACCTTGGAATAAGCTGGAGAAGAACTAATAACTCTGCCTGGTGTCTCCAGGTCTAGAGAGATCTGAAATGCTTTTATTGATAGACAATGAACTCTGTTAGTGACTGAGGAGTGTGGAGAGGGTTGAGGGGGGTTCTGCTGCTGAAAAAAACCCCCATAACTATTGAACTACTTTTACTGAGAAAGGGAAAAAAGCAAGCAAACAAAACAACTCAACCTACTGTGTATTAGGCTTGAATTCACCTTAGGCCCTTTATCTACTTTTTTCACCCTGTTTTCTCTCTGCTTTATTCCCTGCTCAAGCCTATAAGGATTTGACAGCACTGCTGCCCTTTAGCAATACCAGCTCTGCATGGGAGGGCAGCAAAATATTAGCTGGTTTAATGACATTCCCTGACTCCCTAGAAGAGCAGCATTCATCATCATCACTTAAGAAAACACCTCGTCTCAAGTAGACAAGCTCAAGCAGGTTATTGCATCCACATCCATTACAAGGTTGCAACACCTACACCGAGGTTACCAAGAGTCAACATATGTTTTACTACTACTTCAGAGAAAATTAATGTATTGAACCACAGAGCTAGCTAATTATCCATATCATTGACCCCGACACCTTAATGGAAAGTACTGTTCACCCACTCCACAGCAGCTCACACAGAATTAGCGTCAGATTGAGCATGTTATAATTAAGGTCTGAAAGCACTTAAATGGTTAGAAAGAGGAAAAGTGGCCACTTTTGGTCTGTCTTAGCCCCTGTCTCCTGTTCCTCTTTCAGGTGCAACTCTAGGAAGGCTTTTAGTCCTCATATGTGTTTCCCAGCCTTGTGTCAAACAGTGATGTCCAAGGCAGTTTTCCCTTGGCATCCTAGGTTCATGTGTTAATTCAGGCTAGAAGGGACCTCGTCCTCCCAAGGTCCTGCTCACAGCAGGTTCAGCTCCTCAGGGTTTTCACAGTGTTGGGCAGCAGAAGCAGCACAAGGCTGTGAGCACAAAGGCTCTCAGCTGCCTTGGTCCTGCTGATCAGGAGCTCTTCCCCAGGCAGGACTAGCTCTGCCATGTAGACTCTGTGTCTGCTCCCCTTTAACTCCACTCCTTACTAACACCCCAGCACTTTGTCACCACACTCTTAAAACTGATATATTAAGTCCCAAAGAGCAGCTCTAAATATATAATTATTTGTGGTTTCCCAAACACCATTTATTTTCTAATTTCTTTCCCATCATTAATTTTCTTCCTCTTTGCTGACTTATCGGTTGTCTTAAATATTATCCTTTTAAGTCTCCATGGTGTCCAATGAAAAGGAATTAGGCTTCTGAGTGTGCTTTCAGGCTTAATCTTGCAATTATCAACTTCATATTGTTCATCACTCTGGCCAGGCACTCTCTTTAGGAAAATTATTTGGCCTGAATAAATGTCTTCAAAGTCTGAAAACTCAGATTCAATAAAGTTTATGGAGGCTTTCATCTTTATTGATATTGTGAAAGCCTGCAGTGTGATTTCTTTTTTTTTAACTTTGGGGCATAGCATCTTCCTTGGTCTCATAACAATACTCTTGTGCAAGAGCTAGGAGAACTGTAGAAACTACCATTTTCAGAATTTTGGTTCTTCTTTTCCTTACTGGACTCAGAAATTAGATTATAGAATACAGAGGTATGGAAAATATTAAGACCACTGCACAGAACTGAAAAATAGAAATACAAGGTTTATAAAGCAAGTTCCAGATTGCTCTAGATTTCTCACGAAAGATTTTTTGCCTTGACCTGAAGCTTTTAGTGTATTAACTGTGGGAGCATCTTAGTGTTTATGCAGAGTAACTTCAGGCAACTGTCAAACTTTCAGAAGTGCTGACAATTTTGAAATCCTTAAAAATCGAGTTCCTCTGAAATGAGCAAAACAACACTGTCTCATGACAAAACTTTCATGAAGCAGACAGAAACACAATAATGGCTTCAGAAGCTGAGATCCCTGAGGAAACACACCATCATTTCAAAGCATCAATGCACAGATTTGCTCAGGATACAGCTGACTGCTGAAAGCAAGAGCGTCTTTCTAGTCTTGAACCTTTAATCAAATATCAGTATGAAGATTTAGGCACCAAAACCAGGACACTGTCCATGGAAAAGTAAACTTGACCTTGACTGAGTAGAAGGTTCAGCTAGACAACATCCTCTTGTCCCTTTCTACTCATTATACTACAAATCATGAAGAAGATAAACATTTTTAGGACATATTCCTACATATTTAATTTCCAGGTTTATTACTGTCAGCTTAAAACTATGAATTTTCTGAAGAAATTAACCAAAAAACCTCAATGACAGCGAAGAAGCTGTAAAATTAAATTAAACGTCACTCTTCAAAATCCAGAGCAGAAAATACAAAGTTTGTAAGGCAAATACAGTAAATCTATGTACATATTTTAATGGATTAGAAGTATAATGCGTGTGGATGACTGTCCTATGCTATGTTTTATTTGCTACACTAAATGCATCATATCTTACAAACCACAGAGAATTGTGCTCCTGTATTAATTACATTTTTAAGTGATTTTCTAATCTTTGAACCATTTTACTGTCTGACTGTTGCAGAGAGTGTATTAGAATTTCACACAGCACTGATATTTGAAAGCATTTAAATAGTAAGCAAAAGGTCTCCATTTTTTGTGTTCTTTCAGCCATTTATTTCTATTAGTATCAAAGTGGCTGTTTTACATTATGCAAACATTCATTGCAAAGCAAGTTGGATTGTAGGTTAACTCTTAGAGAAGAAATATATGCTGTGATAACATTACCCAGTGTGGATGTGTTACACTTAAGGCATTTACTTCAGTATAAATCATTCTTTATATGAAATAAAAGTGCTTTATTGCTTTATAGCAAGATCCTAAGCCACAGTAGATGGATGTTGTAGGATGCAATCTGGGTGCCAGTCAATTGGTGCTCTTTGTAAAGTAAAGGATGAAATTGTAGACAATGATATCCAGAAGAACATAAAAATCTGATGTATACCCACAAAATCAATGACTATTTAGAATGAAGCTTGAAAACTTGGTATAAAACACTATCTTTGCCTCATCGAGCTAGGCCTACATCTTGTCCCATTGAGTGGATTTATGGAGGCAGTACTGCAGTATCTTTAAATGAATGAGAATTCCCTTGCTCCTCCAGGTCTAAGACACACAGTGGAACATTATGACCTGTTGAGATTTCTCTGAGCAGCAGCAAAGGTAATAACAGCTCCACTGCCAGGGATATGGTAAATCAACCCATCTTTCCTTTTAAGAACATATTTGCTTGTGAATTGTATAAGCATTGTATAAATATATGTTTAGCAAAACAAGGAATTAATTTGTTTTCAGAACTTGCCAGGAATTTTCCATACATGTTCTTGCAGTCGGAAGAGAAAAAAAAAATAGTGAAGTGAAAATTATTTTTTTTTTCCTGGAAACATCATTTTTCTGAGAAAGGCACTTTTTTTTCTGCCTTAAAAAAAGCCATATACATTTGGACTGAAAGGCATATTTACTGTTCTTTTTTTTTTTCCCCTCCGAGAATTTCCTCTGTACATTTCTAACTAACCCTTAAGTAGCAGTTTTCATCAGTAGCTTTCAAATCAGCACAAAGGAGAAAAATGTCATTGTTCCTCCTGAACCTAGGGCACAGCAAGGGGGGAGGAAGGAGATGCTAAGTGGCTTGCATTAATCTCTCAGCGTGCCAGTGCAGCAAAACTCACCTCCCAAACTCTGGGACTGTTTCCTACTCCCTTTTGCACAAGCAGCCAGCACTCCTTGCTTGCCTGCTCCTTTGGCAAGAATCCCACTGAAATCCTCAGCCCAAATCACCTCTAAATATGACAGAATATGGATTAAACTTTTATATTTGAGCAGTTCATCTGCTGAAGGGGGAACTCAAGGCTCAGTTAGAAAAAGTTCTCTTCCTTCTCAGTTTGTCAGTTTCTGAGTACTGGGAGCCAAACAATGTGAATTTTTGTGCCTTGAATGTTTATTGTTTTACTTTGTAGCTCAGCAAAGAAGAAGAGAGCAGGTGTGGAAGGCAGGGAAGAACAGTGGGACTCCTTCAAGACAGGAAAAAATACTCTCAGGCATGGGGAGAAAAGAAAGAATAAGCTGCTCTGTGCTACCAGTGCCTACAGTGGAGGAGATGAACTACATTACCTACAGCAGTTCTGCCTTTTGCTCCATGCACCTCATTTTTGCATAAAAGAAAAAATTATACTTTGTCATGCTGTATTAAAGATAATTATCTCCTTCAATCCTTGTGGTTTTCTGTGGTTTTCTATGATTTTGTAGTTAACCCAGTTATACTCACTCCTTGATATTTGCACAGCAACTGGTTGTTACTGCCTCAGAAGAGAAATTCTTTACTTCCTCCTGAAGAAGTCTTTATCAATCCAGATGTTAATCTTGACTATTAGCCATTCAGTCAGTCAGCAGCAGCATGGTCTGCAAGGACAAAAGGAAGCAAATATCCATGGAAGTTGTACTGATTTTCCCCAAAGCAGCGAGTGTGGAAAGAAGTTTAGGTCTAGTGGGGCTGGAATTCTCTGTGGTAGCTGCTCTTCTAACAGAGGACTCTTTATAGGAAAACCAGTCACTGAAGGAGACATCCAGAGGATCAAATTTTGGAAGTCTGTAGCTCTGTACATTCCCAAATCCTGGAAATCTGATGATGTCCTTGAGAGCACCACAGAGTTCTTGTTCACTGATACAGCTGAATGAATGGCTGGCAGAAAAATGTGAGTCACAACTGTGAAAATGGTCCAAAGAGCAGAAAACCAGACCAATGAAAGAGATGCCTTGAATGAGAGCAAGAGATAATTCCACATCACTGAATATAGTGTGCCTTCCAGGGAGTGTCTTGGGAAAGCCTACCCTAGGCTGCCAGTACTGGACACTTGAGACATTCCAGTGCTTTAAAGGACTTGCAGATTGCGAAATGTTGGGGATTTTTTATCCCTGGAGGTGTTCAAGGCCATCTTGGATGGGGCCTTGAGCAACGTGGCCTAGTGGAAGGTTGAAACCAGCCGGTGTTTAAGATCCCTCTCAACCCAAATAATTCTATGATTTTATGAAAAGTAAAAACTCATGCTCCAGTATTTAGGCACACAAAGGCTTGGCTTTGCCTACAGGCCAGCACTGGAGCCCTCCCTGTCTCAGGGCTTTCTTCCTCAGACCTGCAGGAGTGCAGTCACACATGAGGGCAGGATGCTTGGGTGCCTCATGTGCACTTTTACCTGATGGTGGTACCTGAAAACATCAGCTGGAATAACCGCACCGTGTCAGAGCACTGCAAAGGACAGTAGGATTCTCAAGTCACTATCATTTTAATAGACAAAAGAATGAGAGAATGTAAATATTATCATTCCTGCTGAGCAAACAGAGAGCTGGTATCATTCAGAGAGGTTAGGCAGAATAAGGAAGAAAACCCAGATCTCGTGACTCCCAAGCCAGTGTCTTGAACCACACAACCACAGTTGTGTTCTTGACAGAGCTGCTCTCTCTGGGTTTTGATCAGCATATATTGCTTCCAGCAGTCACTCTGCCTGGTTTCCACATCCCTATTAAATTATTCTATAGATGATGTAAAAGGTCAGGGGAAAAAAACCACATGCAAAAGTGTTGAGAAAAATGCTACCCCTTTTCTGAAGGCTTATTGTAAAATAAATAAATAAAGTAGTATTAAAGAAGGAAAAATTACCAAGGGAGTAATAAAAAGTTAGCTTTAGGCCAGAGAAATGCTGCTTTTCATTTCTATATAGTACATGAGAATATTTTGTGGACTAACAGTGCATGAATAATGTTTTATTAAAATGTATATCTTTACAGCTTTATTTTATCAGGTCCTTCAAGGCCTGGCATAAAAAAGGTTTAACAAGTTTGACACATGCTGATTTAGCATTTACACCACAAACTGAATCTGCTTTGTGAGGGAAAATAGGCCAGCTTTCAAAATACAAACACTGTGAAGTATTCAAAGTGAAACAAAACAAAAGTGAGAAGTGGGAAGAAGGAAAAAAAGAAGGAAAATGCAAACCATGATCATTCCAAACCTGCTGTGCAAAGGTTTTAGACTGACTTTGAAAATATATCTCATTAAATGTTGTAGCACTGATGATTCCAGCATCCAAGTTTCCTAATGAAGTATGCAAATCTGGTTTGTAAGATTCAACTAAAAGTAGTCAGTGAGGTTTTGTTCTCTTTTATTCTTTCAAATGAGCCAAACATCTGACTCTTCCTGAGCTACCTTAACCCTTTCAGCTACCAAACCCTAAAAGAAAACATTTTTGAGAATGTAAAATTGTTTAAAAAATTTAAATTAATGTCACATCCTCCGTTGCAGAAGGAATTATTTTAGAAATCTCCTTGTTGTTTCCAACCCAGAAGAAAGTGCTGCAAGTCCCATTACTTAAGAGAAAATATGCTTTTCTATGCTAGGGTAAACTGTGACCCAGATTTCTGTGATATTGAAGTTTGCCGACCCTCAGCTAAACTCTTATCTAACCTGTCTTGACTTGTAAAATGTTTTTAAGTACAATTTTTCTTTTTTTGCGCAAAGCCTGGATAGCTGGCATATTTTACAACTTTGCATTTCCATTATTAAAATTGCCAGATGGAGACCAGTTAAAATGATATTTATTTCTGTTCCTTTGATATTTTTGCACTTCTGCTTTTCAAGTCACCAGATGGGGGTTAGCTAAATCCTCTGAGCTACTTGTTAATAAATGGACTGTAGAGACAAGAGTATAAATCTATATGCTAAACTTGCTGGAACTGCTACAGCACTACAATGGGCAAAGGATGGATAACACATCCTTTTCGTTAAAAGGACACCATCTTTACAGACCTAATCAATAAACTAATTAGGATTTGAGGTGTACCCGTGCCCAGCTTCACAGTGAGGCTTTTATGCTATATCTACATTTCCTATATTTCTGCCAAATTAGAGACAACAGAAATTTGCCTCTGTCAGGACACATACCTGAACTTTTATTTCTTGATATATTGAACAGCAGAGACCGACTCTACATCAGAACTTAACATATCTGTTAGAAGGAAAGACAATTTATATGAAGCCACTAATAATTTCTCTGAGAAATACATTCTTATGACATTCATTTAGTTTAAACCTTATTTCTAATATTTTTTCTGACCCCTTCATTCTCTTTGTTTTAAAACTCCAAAACTTTCTAGTACCTTAAAACCCTTTTAGTACTGATCACTACAGAGGTAACTAGAATAATTCTTTATTTATATAGCATTTTTTCCACCATTAATTTTTTAACTTAAGAGATTCCAAATCTACTTGGAAGGGTATAGGTGGACACAGCTACTTTCTGCAGCAATCCATAAGAGGGAAACAGTGATGGTTGTCACATTCCATTGTAATTTCCAAAATTATACTGATATAATTCAAAAAGCTTGAATGTCAAAAGTTAAAATTAACAGACCTGGTGTCATCAAGTACGCATCACAGTTTTGATGAAACCAACAGTCCTTTACTTACATGTAAGACTTGAAATAACTTAATACAGGAATTGTGTATCAGAAATTCTACCATTTATTAAGCTGTGTGGAAAGGTCCTTTGTCATTTTAGAAACAGAGTAATTTATAGGTTTATCCAACAGTTTCTATCTTAGCTACTGCCTAGTTTATTCAACTAGAATAAATCTTTCCTTAATAGTCTTCACAGGCAATAAATATTGGGGTGTGGGAGAGAATATATTTCATGTGGGAACAGGTATGGTCAAATATTTGGTCACATTTACAGAAATTTTGAGCCATTTTTCCTCTTTTTAGCCTGTATTTAGTATGAGATAGGTCCACACATTCCTCAATAAATAGCATAGCTCTATACAACCATTGCCAGTTTCTTTCCATTGTATGTTTTACTGCTGGGTAATTCAAACCAAAATCATTGTAGGAAAAAGAATAGTTAGATTGGGTAATGGAGCTAATGGAAAGTGATAACTGAGGAAGCTATGAACGTTGGAAATTTTGTAGTCTAATAATAAAAGAACAAATGTTAATTTTGACTGCTTCACAGTAATCTGCACAGAGAAAGATTTGTGTAGCAAGAGAAATCTGATCAATGAGGAAGTTGTCTTGAGATTTTCATACAAATTGTCAAGCTCTGCACATCTCCTGTTTCTGGTGACATATTATCCTGCTTGTTTAGTTGCCTCTCCTATGAATTTCTATTTAAAATTTAACTTCTAAACCCTTTGTGAATATAGTACAGTGCTGTGACAACAGTAGGACACTATGAACCCTTACAGCACTTTCCAACCTGTGCTGTGTGTTCTGTGGCAAATTTCCCTTGATTTCAATGGCAATGGCTCTGAAACCCTATCACAAATTTAATTTAATGTCACCCTTCTCATAATATTTTGTTCTTCTTTGGTTTGACCTTCTTTTCCGTTTGGAGAGTGACAATAAGGGTTAATTGCTGCAAGTGCTCGTTGGTGTAAATCAGCAGTAGGCTGCTGATGAGTGAGCTGGGGAAGGTCTGCAGAGCAAGTTGTTTTGCTTTCTTTCCAGCTCAGCATCGCGGGCGGCCCCATCCTCTCTGCAGGCTCTGCTCCCACAGAGCTGTCCAGATGGTCTGGCTCCGACTGCCTTTCCTTTCATGTAAGGTGGGGAAGTGCTGGGGAAAGTTTGTGTCTGCCTGAAATGACTCATCCCCCAGATCCCCCGGCCTCAGCTGCTGCACAATCCTCAAAAGATCCCAACATGTGCCTTGCACCATTGTTTTCCCTTTTTCTTCCTATTTTTTTAATAATCTCATCACCACATCTTGCTCCTTGAGCCCTGGAAGGATGCAGAGGAGCAGATGTTGCCCCCCGCATTATCTCAGTAATGTGGCAAGCTGGAGAGTGACAGGCAGGACACGTCAGGATGGCTCTGGCAGGCTACAGTCACAGCACAGCAGACATTTCAGGGATTGAGGAATGTTGGGAAAAGGCCTGATTTACAGGTTTGTGAAAGATGTAACCTGGCTGAGACGTACTGGAGCTCAGTCTCCCCCCATTCCCCACTGACAGACTGACCCTCAGTTGGTAAACCATACACACAGAGCTCATATTTCAGTCAAATCACAGCTGGAACAGCCAAGAGGATTTTAAACTAGCTTGTTAGAAGGTCCAGGCAATCTAAACTCAAAATTTTACTTGCTCATCAATTAAATATATTTTCTTATTTCTTACATGAGGTAATTCCTTTCTGTACCATGAATTAAAATCAAGGGAACTCGGA